GCCCTCTGCCATGTGCCACCCTGACGTGCAGCCAGCTGAGTATGGGCTGAACCTCTACAACAGTGAGCTAAATAAACCTTTCCTTTCTTAATTTTGGATGTTGGGCATTTTGTCCCAGCAACAAGAGAAAAGTAACCAAGACAGCATCTCCAGAAGTCTGCATTCTCAGAAAACACTTGGAAGATATGAACATAAGAGTGGGTTGACCTAAGTGTGAACAAAATTTGGGAAGAATACAGGAAAGAGGCCTATCCCAGAAGAACAGCACACTTTGTAACACAGGGAGGGGTCTCTGATTATGATGGACAGTCCAAATTCCATCTTAGGAAAGAAAGATCTGATTCTAATATTCAGTGAAGCTGTGTTTTATTTTTCTGCTCCCAGAAACCAACTGCTGCTGAGAAGCAACTCATCCCTCCTTCCCTCCCAAGTGTCTTGGAAGAAGGGTCAGAAGAAAACCTCCCACAGCAGGAGGCTTCCACATAGGAGCTCCATCAGAGGCAAGGGGGCTTCACTGGCAAGTCCTCCGTCTCCCTCTTTAGCTAGAAGTAAGACCACAGCCAGGCAACTGTGATTTCTTTTATGGATTTGACCAACCTCTTGCTAACAAAGCTACAGGGAAATGAAACTTACACCTCACAGAAATGTTAGGGACAGTAGATGGAGGACAGATGCTACCGCTGTATTTAGTGGGCACATGGTCAAGGGGAGGGGATCCCAAGAACAGGAGGGGACTCCAGGTAAAGCTCTGAGACTGTAGAGCCCAAGGACAGAGGCCTGAATCTAGGGCTGTGCTGAAATTCAACATGGCTGCAATGGACAATGTTTGTGAAACTACATTACGACCTCTCCTTTCAGGGTTTCTAAACTACACAAATAAAACACTACCTAATTGTTGGGGTGAATATTATTGAATAATTTAACAGTGAGATTTAAAGCCCTCAAACAGGTTTCTCTCACACCAAAGATTTTTTAAAACAATAGGTTTTAATTTTCTCAGCAGATCCTGAGAAAGGGAGTTTCCCCCATTTTCTCAGTGAACCTAAATTGATGGAAATTAAATACCAGAGCATTTCTTTTAGGCTTTTCTCTCTGTCTCTCTCTCTCTGTCTCTTTGTCTGTCTCTCTCTCTCCCCCCTCACTCTCCATGTGTTTGTGTATTGTTACTTGACACTAAGCTATATCAAAAAGATAATTGTATTTCTCCTTCAATGCCCAACTGAATTTTATTTTTTTCCTATAGGATGAAAGTGAATTCTCAAAAGTCTATTCTCTTCCTGGACATCAAAAACTGCCAAAATAAATTCATTAATGAGTCATTAATTCATTAATGAGTCATTAATTCATTAATGAATTCATTAATTCATTAATTCATTAATGACTCATTAATGAGAAGATAAGGTTTTCTTCTGAAAATTATAAAATCAACAGAAAGAGATGATGTAAGTCATTTTGAAAAGACAGAAGTGGCTCTGAGCCATGCAAAACTGGCTATAAAATGACTAAGATTAATAATATAATTCAATCAGAAGGGTTCAAAGGAAAGTGGACTATGATCCAAGGATGTGTTCTCTTTGGTTCTAGGGACAAACAAAACTTTATTTGCATGATGTAAGACATCTGAACTAGATGTCATTCAACTTAAACCAATTTGTTGCAATCTATACAGCCATTTAATTATATTCAGTTTTTCCAAGCACTTTGCATTTAGGGAGAAAAGTCAGTAGCCAAAAGACAGTGTCCCCTTTCATAGTGCTATTTCTCATTTTATAGTAATATACTGACATTGTGTCTTTATTCATTAATTTTTGGAAACTTGAATATGGACTTCTAAGAGACAAATACACATTCATTATGCTATAAATCAGGTTTTTGAGATGGTGTTTTAGTTACTTTTTAGTTGCTAAGACAAAATACCTGAACCCAAAGTTAAAGGAGGAAAGGTTTATTTTGGCTCACAGTTTGTAGAGCTTTCAGTTCATCATCCACTGGCTCCATGGCAGAGGGGCATTGCAGAAGAGGAACAGTTTATGGTGAGCAGAAGTCAGCAAATCAGCAAGCAAAAGTGACCAGCAAGCAAAAGTGACCAGTGACCAGCAGCCATCCTCTTTCTGTCCCTTTTATCCAGGCTGCCCACATTTAGGGCAGGCAGAACTTACACCCAGGGTGGAGTAGCCTTAACCCTGGCATCGCACCATGAATCAGTCTCTGCTTCACATCCTTGATCCCAGCATCACACACTGTAGATCCATCCACCTCTAAAAAGCCCCACCTATGAATGCAGGAGGTTTTGTGGGGGCATCTAGATACAACCCATAAGAGAGAATAAAGCTCAAGCAGAGTCTCTCACACAATACTGTCCAGTACTCTCATCCACATGATAAATAGTTTTCTAAGATAATTAGGAATGAGACAAACCACCCATTTCACTCATGAGAGCACCGAAGTTCCATGGCTCATTTGCAGCAGGACATGAACCAAAATCTAAGCTTCTGTATTCTTTGTCCACTTTTCATACTATTACAATCTTACTACATCAGAGATATATGTAACACACTGTTGTTGACTGTCTGAATTTCAGGATTTTGAGTAGGCAGGAATTTTTAAGCAGTTGAATCTGGGGGCCATGCTAAGTAGAATTCATTCATCTCAAACTCCCCCACCTCAGCACCCAGTGCATTCTATTTCCTTCATCTGCTATATGCAAGGCTGCTTCTGATAGTTTAAAAAATTATAACATCACATCACGTCTAACATCCAGTATGTGCGTACAGATGGCATCTCATGGGACATCATCCTTTCCTACAATTGACAGGAAGTACAAAATAAACCTTCACAGATATCAGGCTCTGTTGCACAATGATAAGCATGCCAGACAGTAATTTTTCAACTTAGCAATTTCAACTAAGAAGCAGTTCAAACTGTCAAGACCTATCCACTTAATCATATTTCCATTATGAAATGTATTCTAATATATATTAACAAGCTCCTACATAACACATTGAATGTCACTTATTATTTAAATGGCTTTCTAGGAACACAAAGTATTCTGTCAATCGTGAATACTTTGCTCATAATGCCATCTTTTTGGGGATAGGTACAAATCATTCTCTCTGTTTTAGAGGTGACAAATTAACACTAAGAGTAAGTTAAGGACAAAAATCAGGCCAGTTTTTAGTAATAAGCCCAGCTAGAAGGAAATCTGTATTGATCAAGTTTTGTCTGTGCTGTCATAAAGGTTTTGTCACATTTTGTGAATGGTCTCTTTATGAAACTCTTTCAGTCTATTAGAAGCCTCAGTGATGCAAGTTCAACCCATACATGTAGAAAACACTAAAATGAGCAGGAAATCTGCTGTTCTGTATGCCAGGAGTCCAGCTGTCCGACTGGAAAATATCCCATCCAAAACAACTTGAGGACCCAAAAGACCACTACAGATTAAATATTATTAAATGCTGTTACAAAATGTCAATTAAAATATTATTAGGCCTCTGTCATTAAAAGTTTCTGATTGAATATATATATATGAAAAAATCAAGCTTATTTGATATCTACTTGACAACTTCAGCCCACAATAATTTTCTGCTGCTCTAACTAAAATACCACATTATAAAAATCCAGTTCTTTTACCTTTGAAAGTCAATCAAATTCAACAACCATGAGTGGTCTAAAATTGATAATGCTCTTCTAAACTTTACATCTTCCTGCCAGTTATTTCATGGATACTATCGCATTTAACTAGGAGGAATGAAAAGAATAGTTGGTGGATAAAGCAACTCTCCCTGGCAAAGTCCTCCTTAGCCAGTCTTTCTTACGTATCACTCTGAGAAGACTAACTTCAGCAACCCAGCAGACTTTCAATGCACCTGCACCCAACTAAAACATCTCATTGCCCAAAATGACCTGCTGTTCTTTTGGTCATCTCAGGCTCATCTTTCTTTCCTATGTCATATCACATGCACATGGCTGTACACAGTCCTACAGATGGATGAAAAGAACCCAATAAAAACCATGTAGAACATCTGGCCGGTACATGTATGGTCACACCAGAATGGGCCTACGGTGCTTTGAAATTATATAAGCTAACGTATGTACCAGGGGAGTACAAAGAACACAAAACACAGGTCAGTGTACAGCAAAGATTCAGTGTGATACATTTTTTGGCTAATTAAAAATTCACTACTTGGATTCACAAGCAACACAAGAGAGAGTAATTCTTAATCAACAGCCTAGTTTAGAGAAAGCTAGCCCTAAACTTTAAAATATTATTTCAATAACCAAATTTTGTCACCATTTCACCAACTTAACTAAAGTTATAGGGACTAGAGAAAAAGCCTGTAGTATAAGAATAGCACTCAAATATTTACATTCAAAAGTGATGATCCTAGTATTTCTTATGGTCTTATTTCTTAGCACTCTCCATAACATCACTTATATATTTAATGTGGACAAAGCAGGCTATAATCATGTAATAGTCTTGTCCTTAAACTAACGCTTTAAAATCTTTGTGATCCCTGCATATGGGTAAACATCCAGACCACAGTGGCATAGTGCTTGCAGAGGGATATTACCCAAACAAGGCTTTCACAAGCAAAGACAGATTTTTATAGGTAAATTCTAGGTAGATTGGGGAAAGGTGCACAGTACAAATATGTAAATCTAATGACACACAGAGGGGCTAACACTGCTGGTCTGAAGCTTTGCCTTTCTCCTATAATTTCTAAAGCAACTGAGGCTTTCTACGTTGTTATACATCTGAAGGAAGCATCAGCGACATATGTTACATCACATTACAGCAAACTACTCCAAAGAGAAACTTTCATTAGACTCTAAGCATTCTTCTTTACATTATTATAACAGTTGAAAATCGCATTCTGTTGCACATAAAAGAAACCCAAATAACATTTCTGTGACTACATAATGTTGAAGTCAAATTTCCAACAGTCCAGTGATGATGCAACAGTTATAAATCTGGAATAAACCTTCCAGATGTCACCCACCTCAGTGCATGGCTTTCATCATGCTGGCCTCAAGATGGGAGCTCAGTCTCTGGTAATTTTATTCCTATTGGAGGGAGAGGAAAAGGGAGAAAAGGAAGATAATATGGAAAAGCCACACGCAGCTGAGATTGCTCGCTTTAAGCCCTCTCCTGGAAGACTTATCAATGACCTACACTGAGACAGCACTGCCCTGGTTGCACCACATTTTAGCCTGAGAAGATGAGAGGTAGTTATTTAGTAGGGCTCTTAGTACCTTCAAGGAAAGGGGAATTCTGATTCTAAGGAAGAAAAAAGGAATAAATGATTAAGTAACCAGCAGTATCTGTTTTTACTGGAAATGCCCTGCTTTTTGTCCAGTTGGTTCTGTAAGCAAACCCAACATGAGATACTTTTGAAAGTCTTTTTAAAAAAGAAATAGTTTAGATGGATTCTGTATTGGACCTTGTCTGCTACCCCAAAAATATTTAAGTTTGAATGGTCATATAAAAATCAGATAGGGAAAGTACTTTTTCCCTAGTAGTTGTAAGAGGGAAAAAGGAGCTGTTTTAATGAAAAATAAGTCAAAATGAAGTAGCAATGACCAATAAAATGAATTATACTCTTTAGTGTTGTATTTATAGATGATACCTACATCACGTCAGTCCAACTTTTTACCACTGTTCCATCTTGATAAAGAACTGGGCATATTAAACTTGAGGAAACCCCATGTACTTTTCTATAAGATGATCAAACTAAATAAATAAAGAAGTATACCATCTGTTCTTCAGTCAATCACATGCTTGCCATTTTTGATAACTATAACGTTTATCACACTGAGAAATACTGCTCATAACTAGGATTAGGAAAAAAGACCATTGAAAAATTTGCTTTGTAACTTAAGTAAACATTTTTTGGATGTAGTCACCAAAAATAGAAATAAATTTTAATCCTTGTTGTATTTTTGCAAGTATATATATACAAATATAACAAATGATATGCATAAATATATATAACATATAAGTATATATATATATAAAATAAAAATGACTTTAAGAGTGAAAATCCTTAAAATTTAACAATGTGAACATAAGGCACTATATTTCATAAGAAGTGCAGCTGTGACATCCTGTGAAGTGAGGGTACTCTTTTGTTTGTATGTGTTTTCCAGAAAAGTAGATTTGTCATTTAAGACAGATCATATGAAACTTTCTCCTGTTCAATTACTGCAGCTTAATGTTGACCACAGACAACGGTGAGATGAACAGAATAGCAGACACTTAATCTCCCCCTTTCCCACAGCTACACAGCTACCCTGGTTTCTACTGAGCCAAGACTAAAATATAAGCTCCCCTTTCTACCCTCGTTTTGGTCCTGCTACCCAATTGTGGTCAATGAGTAGGTGGGAACATGTAGCGAACTCTTTTGAAAGCAAAGACTTGGCTGACAAACTCTTAGCATGTAAGTCTTCTCCCCTTCCCCCCTTTTCTGTCTGGATATTGATTAGGACACCTGGAGATACAGCATCTACAATGCTACCATAAGAAAAAAGCCACCCAACATGGCAGAGAAACAGACAGACAGAAGATGGCTGGCTCCCTGGTGATACCAAGAGCCTGTTACTTTAGCCCTGAACTGCCTGCCTCAGGATGTGTTATGTAAGAAAAGGAACACCCTGACAGTGTGCTGCTGTTAATCACTTCTCTGTATTTTGCCACTGAGCACAGTCTTTGCGACACAAAGCACGTCAGCTTCAGTCACAGGTATCCTTGAACATCAGGTTATATTTCCAACAGAGTTTATTTTTTAGAATTAGTTAAACTATTGTGCTTAATTTTGGTATATAAATATTCCTCCTAAAGTAAGATTATATTTATTTTTCCTTACAAAACAGAGATATAAATGAAAGATTTTTTTAAAGTTAGTTTTTATAAAAATTCCAAATTAAAGCAAGTGTATACCTAAGTAACTAAATGGCAATTCACCTGAAGGGCCCCCTAAGGTCTTAGCAACAAATGTTTATTTATTTGTTTTCAAAGTATCATTTCTGGAAAATAACTATTTTAAGCTTCGCAAGGCAAGGAAAGTTGTATTGACATTGTATAATATAAGTTTACAAGTAAATGTGAAGCAGTCATATACACTTTGTACAGGAAAAAGATATTCTCTAAGTTCAAACAAATACTGTCAGAAAAGAAATAACAGTAATAGATATTATGCCAATGTAAATGTACAGATAATTTATGATCATTTTGTATTAGTTTTAGTTTTTGAATGACTTCTCAAATAGAAAGAAAATAGAAGATTTAACTGATTTAAAACCATACTTTGTAGCAACTTGTAAAAGAAAGGTGAAAAATTTTGTAACATGTTTTCCATTACAAAACTGATACTTGTACAACTGCTAGCACACAGTCTTGTCTGTCAGTGACAGCCTGATGATTCTTATGATAAACAAACCAAAATAAATTTTAAAAACTGAAGTACAGAACTTCAGTTTCAATTCAAGTGCTCTTCCTCTTGACAGCGGGACACAAAGCTGTGTTTTATGAAGTCCATTTACATCGGGCACCCGCCCAAAAGCAGCAATAGCCGTATTCAACACATTGAAGGCAACCAAGTCCCTGACTTGAACTGTCTTAATGCATTTGCTCAGGAGAAGTTTAATAACCAAATGGATCTGAAATTGTTTCATTATTAAGGACCCTATCAGCATTTCTTTAGACATTAAAGTTTTTATTACAAATACTTATCAGAAGCTCATTAAGTTTCTATTATCCTGCATCTCGTTCCAGAGGTCAGATGAGTAAAAAAGGGAAAAGAAAAAAATGTGGGAAGAAAGAAGCGAGAAAAGGAGGCAAAATAATTAATAGATGGGATTCCTTTTTGTATTATTCTTGAAATGACTGGAATAAAAGATGATTCTCCAGATTATATTCCAAATACGCAGAAAAATGCTAGCAAATGTGTAAGTATCCAGAGAGATGCTACAATAAAATCTCCTGCCTTTATTTTGAACCCCCCCCCTATTCCCAAGGTTAGAAGGATCAAATCCTTAAACTGTGAGGCATTTCTTTGCCTATAGACTTGTGACTGTGGTCTTGGAGGAGTTACTGTGACAGTGAAGTAACCCCAGACTGTGACTTGCTGGCACTCATGTCTAATATGTCCAAGAAGCAGCATGCAAATGCCACAGTTATTGTCAGGTCCTCAAGGTTCTTGGTTTCAGAGTGATTCACTGTTGCTGAGGGGACCAAGACACCTATGCAGCAAAGAACTGGCTCGGTCCTTCTTTGAATTTCCACGGAAGCCTCCTCTATACTGAAAACACCATCATTTTCTTCCAGAGCATATAAAATAGCAGAACTTTAAGTAGAAATTGTCAATTAATGAAATATTGGTCTTTTTTTAAAGATACTTTAAATCTGAAGAATTTGTATCCTTTTTAAAATAATGTTTTGTATGCTTTCTCTTCTTGTTCATCATCTTATCAAATATAAAATTTATGCACTAAAGTCTGAACTATGAACATTTTTCACATTTATTCAGGTGTCTTGGTTACTTTTCTCTCATTGCTGGGACAAAATACCTGATGCCCAAAGTTAAGGAAGGAAAGGTTTGTTTTGCTTACAGTTTGTGGAGGTTTCAGTCCAGACTTGGCAGATTACAAGGCAGAGTGGCACATGGCAGAGGGCTACAGTTCATGGCGGCAAAACACAGCAAAAGCAACAAGCACTAAAAAGGGAGGAATGGCCGCAAGCAGCCTCTTCCTCTCCCTTACATATGCAAACTATCCACCCCAGGGTGGGTGTAGCTCTCACAACCATAATCAATCAAACTCTAAAAGCCTGCCCCATGACTGCATGAGGCTTTGGGGGGACACACAGACACAAACCATAACATCAGGATATTTATGAAAATGCTCAACACTCAAATTTACTTATTTATTCTTTAACTTTCTTAAATTCATAGCAGAACTTGACATCTTCAAACAAGAATAGTTGTACACGTACCGACTACCTCCCTCCTGAGTCCCACTCTCATGTCTATGCTCCAGGGCACAACGTGGGCTCATGCATCAGGCCAACACTGCTTAAATGAAAGGGTAAGCTCTCAGTTTGCTGTGTGAATCACTTCACTAGTTTAGAAATTTTCTTAATGGCCAGAGAAGCTCCTTTCCTCCTAAAAGTAGATCATTTGAATAAAAAGAAACCACTTAATTTTTAGACATAACAGTGTTAGTTTCAAAACATATTCATAGGTGGTTGGTTTTAGGAATGTTTATTACTAATTTTATTAGCTCACATCAGAAATCACTCGTCTAAAACTACTTTTGCCTCCCCAAATACCAACATCATACGTTTTCACTAATTTTTTAAAAAATTGTCTCCAGGAAGGATTAAAAGATTTGCCCAGGAATAGTAACAGCAGGAAGGAAACCAAGGTCCCTGACTTTCTACCGGGTTGCCTCGTGTTTCCAGCGTACAGAACCACTTCCTGTATCAGTGTCCAGAAGTGTAGCTCCTATTTTCCACCACTTAAAACACTGGTATTTAAAAGACATGGTAAGGATTAAAGCAGTCTCCCTGCCTGAGGTGAAATAAGGACAGTAAGAAGAGCTTTAACTCTTGTCTGACTGTTGTGCATGGTTTAACTGGATTAAACATTTCACTTTTCATACATGCTTTTAAAAATAATATACACTGAGGTTCCTTCTCAACTACTAATAAATAATTTCAGTTGCTTAATATAAACAAATGAGAACAGGAAATGAAAATTTAAAATAATAAATAAATATATGATAGGACACAGTTAGGTTCTCTGATGCATACTGCTGCGTTTTATATTTGTATGTCCCCACAGAGCATCGTGGCTCAAACTGAGCCAACATAACCTTTCCTTTTTTGAACTGAGAGTGTTGGATATTTTAAAAGGCAAAAGATTTATACGATCTGAAGAGACACCAGAGTATAAATGTCGGGTATTTTGTCCCAGCAACAAAGACACGTACTTTTATTTAAAATCTTGTGTGATTCTCCTATTATTTTCTGAAGAAAATTCCTTGAAGTGGAATTACTGGAGGAAAGGTTTACAAAG